GCAAGTTACTGTGATCACTGAAGCTTCTAACGATTTTCTCGGGACGGGTTAATCAGTGACAGCAGTCGCTCAAATGATGCCTGAGTATACCACACTTGTTACTATTTCCGCGGGACTTAGTTCCTGGTGAAGCTATTCTTGTTCGTTTGCTATTTCGAGCATGTGCTTCGAGCTAAAAGGACGCGCATTGTTCATGCTTTGCTTTACTTAAAAACTTAGGTAATACACATCAATTAATTATTTGGGTCCTGTTTCTTGTGTTACAACCGTTTAATACCGAAGTAACTGCAATATTCGTTTCGCTGAAGGCCTCCTTGCTCAGTATTTTAACCATTTCTAGACAGATTTGAGTGGCACTCTCACTTTCGAAAAATAGGACCATCTACTTTGAGAAGTGACTAATGGAAACGTTTGTTTCCCAAATTTTTTCATGACAGCCAATCAACTTATACTCTCGATACGAATATTCATCAAATTTCACCTGTTTTAATTACTTTAATTTCAGTAATTCGAATGTTTAGGCAGGCTCTGTAACCAAACAAAATCCGTAACCCACCATATACAGTTTACGAACGCACATCATTATACTGTATGGCACCGTGACAAACGAGCCCTGTCCTGCTTGAAAACGGCGGCCTTAAAAAAGACAAGCAACTTTTCCAATTAAGGTCTCTCAGTTTACTCCATGTATAGTACATGTACGTGCAATAACCTGTAATACATAATATGTACGTTAATTTACGTTATAAAATCGCATTGCTAGCTACAAGCCGTGTTTAATTATCAATGAATTTCGCATTCACGTGCAACTGCCGCATACGAATAGGTCGTCTTCAAAATATAGCTATATTATTGTTTCATTCCATAGCATAGGGCAATTAAGGAAACGAAACTTCAATAAATCTGTTGATGGTGCAGCGGTACCGTTTTTTGCCGACTAAACTAAGGAACACGTAAAAGTTTAAAATACATTCTGGTGCGTGCGGGGAGCCAGTCGCCTAAAAGAGTGTCTAACGGCCATATCAACGCCGTTAAGCTTGAAACATCAGTCTCGACGAATCGGTCATCGTGAAGGTGCAGTGGTAACATGTGACCCCAAATTTTTAAAATCGTCTAGGTTCGAAACTGGATGTAAACACACTTCGGTTCGTGCTTTTGATTGGCCCTCTAAAACTATGCTTTTAGACAGTGCTGGGCTTCAAAGCCCTGGAACATTTATTTTGACACCTTCGCCTACGATATTGCTAAAAAAAAGTCCTTACCTAAACTTCAAACTTAAAAGTCAGAGCGCTTACTCTTAAATAAATCGAATCTACATGACCGTTCTCATATTCTCGATTTAAGCGCTAAGTAACAGCAATCATAGAACAATGCCTTCTAGGTCTCGTCAATGTAATCTAGGTCTCGCACGAGCAATGTTATCTGGAGCGCAGAATATTAATTGCTGAGTCAGCCTCGTAACCTCAGTCCCATCGTAGTACAATAAAGTAAGAGGTTGATAAGATAAAATGGACAGCATTCGCACCCATTGCTTACATGACGAATAAAAATATATAGTAGATTTTAAGCAAGACGCTGGTAAAGCACATACGTACTCGATGTACGCTCGGTGACGCACAATACGATCGTCGGATGATCGCCAATACTTTTTTCATTCAACCAGGCAACGCTTTACGGTGAACCCTAAGTTTTCCTGTGGTGCTAATCAACTCTGATGTAAATGTTGGACACTACTGGATAATAGCATACCGCTGTCCTCTCACAGCCATAGTAACTGTAACCGCTGTACGTACCAAGTGACAGAATTCGACAAAACAGAGCCGCTAGAAAAACGCGCATGTTGTTTAGAAAAAAATAACGCTTTGCTAAGAGAGACCAGTACTGTAGTAACTATACAGACGTAAATTCATACGAAACCGTTCTTCGGCCGTGTGTCTAAAGCGATTTCCTCTAGTTCATTTGACGAGACGTTCACTGCGTTAGTCTGTTGTATAATCTGGACAAAATATATTTCTAGTAGATTGTTTTTGATTTTTTCAAGTGATTATTAGAAATGCGTGGGTAAGAGCTTGAATAGAGAAAAACTCCTGCCCTAAAGGGAAAAAGGCCATGAAAGTTTAGCGATTTTTCTAACGTAGAACATTCGTTGAAATTGGCTTTGAGGAGGCCGGCAGCTAAAATATATGGCAAAAAGCAGCCCGTAAAATTAAAAACTCATTGTCAAATAAAATACTAAATCTTCAACTACTGGATGGCAGCACATGACACAGTGATAAAGGGCCTAGGTGTCTGATGCGCCCATTTGTTTTGCTTACGATTGATTGACACCGGGAAGTGCAAAACGGTCCTATCGTGATAGCTGCCAGCGCAATCACATACAAAATACAGAACACAAATCTCTTGTCTTATGTCCCGAACCTAACAAGTTAGATAAGCCGACTGCTTGTCCAGTTTGGCTGCTCCTAACCGTATTTTGTAGCACTATAACGTCGGATTAAAAAAAAACTGCAATTAGAGGTTCTTGAAAAAATTAATAAAACCAATGAAACATATGGTTGATACAGCACCCAATGTGATTCGTGTTAAATTAAGCTATCAGTATTGATTCGAGTAAGAGTTGTATTCCCTATGTGGTTATGTCATCGAATAGCCTGAGCGTGCGATGCGTTTTTGTGTGTAGACATATGAAATGACAAAATGAAGCCAAATATATGTCTAAATGAGGTTCGATTACACAGTACCACTATATTAGATCTTTCCCTGGACATTTGTGGACTCGTTTATTCCCAATGTCGTCAGTGAGTATAAACTCTATCTGCACACTTGCCATTTTGAAAGCTATTCGTACAACTCAGACTTTAAAGGTAGTCTTCGCGTGTCTGTAGAAAAAACTATCTAGACTGACGTGATTGTTTATGGTTCGTGTATGCAGTATATATTACATTTCGCCATTTCTTTTTCCAAGTGCCGCCACTTAAACAGTGGTCGTTTAGAACGATCACATCGCTAAGATCGATCTTCGCTATAACTATATATCCATAAAATCTATAAAAATGTAACTCAGCCAATAATCAACATTTATTATAAAAAATGCAGAATTTTCGAAAACAACAAAATTTTTTTTTCTTGACTTAGACCGCCAGATAAAAACCGATTTGTGAAAGTGAGCAACGAGTATGCTTGGATGCGATTGTCGGTGACGAAGTGCAGCGCAGAACGGGAGTCGACCGGGCCTTCCTACAGGAATCGATCGAGTGGTGACATATATTCAAAGGAGAGCTCACGAGGAGAATGGTATAACGGCGGGACGTAAATACGTATCCAACCAACTCATTGTCCAAAAATGTGTTACCTCTATGTTTGCCGAACGATTTGACAGGTCAGGTTTAAGACCTGCTTCGCCAAACGGCCAAAAGCGGCTAAGCCCTTAAAACCTTCCCTTCAAACCACTTTTGAGAGCACCTTATGTCATTGAAAATAACTTGCTTGTGCCTAGATAACAGCGAAGTTATTATTTCAGTTACTGCGCTTCTACTAACTGTAGACATACCTGCCTTAGAGACCGTCACATTATGACCGCTTCATCGCATCTACGGGTATGTAAAAGCGCACACAGGCATTGCTATAAACCTTAATAAATACTAGACGGGTTATATTACATATGACTAGTTACTTTGTTAAGTACGAGTTAATATAAAACAAATAGTCATATGTAATATATCCCGTCCAGTTTCCTTGAATGATTTAGATTTATGTAGCCCTAAAGCCAGAAACTTAACGGTTAACTTGCACTTACGGTATCTTTCATACTGAGTTATATTTCGCCTACACGTTACTGAATAAAAATATTACAGTAAAATAAAAATTATAAAACGTTCTAAGACGATTATGTACAAAACCTTTATGTACCTTCTGTAGCGAAATACGCATATCTGCTACAAAACATAGTATTAGCTTTTAACAAGTATAAGCCATGAATTTATACAAAAAAAAAGCGGTTTTTATAAGCATTGGGGCCAGGCTGAGAAGAGCTAAGCTCTTTAATTACTTATAGGCTCCCGCTCGTTTTTCGCATAGGATCCACCTCGATTTTAGGGTCATTTAATTTAATTGGTTCATAAGTTGTATGTTATATTGATGCTACTTGAGACCAACAGGCTGTTTCCACTCAGTCTCTAAGGAATAAAAGTTGGTAAGTGGTAACTCCAACATTCCAGAATTGAGTCCTCGTCAGGCGAAACGCAGCCTACGAATCCTATACAATTCTATTTTACCGTTTTTCGTATTATATATATATATATATATATATATATATATATATATATAACTCTATTTGAAATCGACTGTTAACAAGAAATTTGCTAATCATCTAAAAAATGGTTTCATTGAGGCATCATAACTAATACTTGTTATTATACGAGCTACGTGCCCAAAAATAATTGCATTTATCTCAATGGTTGTCACATTTCTACATATATGTTAATTAATTTATTTTACTCTTATTTAAACAAACGAGATTAACTCGTATGTATCAGGTGAAATGGGCGGATCGTAAATCGCACTGAAGATCCCGTTTATTTTGCCATATCTCTTTAGCTGTTCAATTATATAGCCGATATGACAGGTTTAATGCTTATCTCGTATCATCAACCACCCACCTTCGCTAACCTCACATTAAATATAAATAAGGCATCAAATATAAATAAGATCGACCCTATCTCTTTACTATATGTTTGCTCTCTGCTGATGATGTGTTTTAGCCTGGAAATTTGTAAAACCGTTAGGTGAAAACGTTACAAAGTATGCACGTCATCGATGACAAGCATTCGGAAACCTATAAACAATTTGAGTTTTTAATTACAAAATTTAGAAAAATCAATTTGTACACAAACGAAAAAGCCATCGAAATTCGTTCAATTGTAAACCTGTCTTTATCCATCTTGATTCTAACGTTATTTCTAAAAAGATAAAAGGCACAAAGATTATAAATAGAAACTCACCAAAGACGAAATGAGTTGTTGTAAGCCTACTCCTGATTTGCAGTACCTCGATACCACTATGCACGTTCACGTACTGCAGCCGCACGTAGACAACAGCATCGTGACGGCATTTGCACAGACAGATCGTGCTGGAAAAAGGTTGCTGTATTGTGAGATTGATTATTCATTAGATGCACGTCTATGAAAATATTCAAGTAAAGGATATGTACAACCCGAAAGCACAATCCAAGGAAGCACACAAACTCGAACAATGATCACTATCGCGTTTGTTTCGTATGTAGAAAAAATCCATCTATGTTCATTATAGTATATTCCTTGACTTTGTCGGTCAGGTTTTACAGAACTATGAACTGAGAGCTCTTCAGGATCTCCTTGACCGAACGACTGTCAAAGATGGATACAACAACTATGTCCTTTGTTTCTCTATTTCCAGTTGTATAACACTCAATGTCTAAAAATTACGCTGCTTTACACCTCTCTCCAAACGGCAGCAGTTAAATCACATGTACACAAAATTTGTTTTTCGTCACTCCCTAACGGAGCCGCCGATACGGTTAAATGTTCGCCTATTTTCACCCTCGCGCACCGGGGAGCTGCAGCCCTGCTTCCTTTTCACACTGTCTGTCCGTTTCCGTCTTCCTGCCTGTCGTTAGAGTCCTGGACCCTGCAGTACGCAGGAAGCAAGTTGCACAACTGGTAGCTGTGCAACTGACGCAGTCCAGTATCACATTAATTAGATTATCTAGTATTATTAAAACTATAGACACAAAGTGCTGGCACAGTAAATGGTAGCTGTCGAATAATTAGTCACAGTCAGCAGCCTCTATAGCGTTTTCTCAGGCGGATCACATGCCGTATTTCCCAACGCGCCATTCTCCGACACCAAGGTTATATTTTGCACTGTACACTTCAAATAAATTATCTTCCAACGAGGAGGAGCGAAACGATGTGTGACGTAAGCACTAACTTCACACACAAATGTAACCACAAACAAGAAGATGCGAGATCATGCTCAGAATTACTGTCCCATTGGCCGATAGCGTGGAAATATCAAACTCAACAAGCCTACAACATACCTTTATCGCAGAACTCTCAATGCTTGACCTCACCTTGATCCGTGACGCTCATCAACGTTTCGTTTCCATGAACATAACTCGGATGGATGTAGCATAAAATTAGAGCAGCAGCAGTAGGTTTGCCTTTGGTGAGTAGACACTTGGCCGGCTTTTAATAGATTTGAATGGCCAAGCGGTGTAGTCACTAACGCCGTTATATCTTAAATGCAGCTGATTATCAATTAAAATTTATGCTGCCGTATAGCAGCAATGTACAGCTGACGTCTATCTTGTCAACTAATTAACCGAATCCGCCATTGTATTTTCGAGTTCGCGAAGACTACTCTGAAACAACCTTGTTCGTCTGTTATTGAAACGTAATGTACTTCTCAGTTAAATCACGTATAGTTACGATGTGCCGTTTATAATGCAAACGTTTCTCGCACAGAACACCTGTCTTTATATCGATGTCCTTCTAATGATAATCATCAACATGGTTATCATTTCACATCTACTACAATTTTAGTTCTCTAAGATATTATCGTTGCAGGTCTGCCTTTGGCAATCGCTAGCTACTGCCTTTACCGCGGTTTTTGTTTCTTGACGTTCTCGACGGATCCGTTGAAAACGATTAGTTGCTGCGTTGAAAAGTGACAACTGCTATGTTTGGGCATACGATACAAACTGATTATTAAAAACTCCTTGGCCGTTTTGTCAGGCAGTCCTCCGCACAATTCTGTTTCTGCTTCTAATTAACACCGCGCAATGCGCAACTCGTTCATTTCATCCGCTGTCGCATCTTTTCTGCTGCTTTCGGCGTTTACCGCTGCCGCCTGGCATTTACCGTTTCGTCAAAAACCCAATAACTAGAGCACGCTCTAAGTATTTTTACTTTTTCAACGTATTTTCTTCGCTTTTTTTCTAATAAACGCTCCAATTCTCTTAGAGTGTTGGCTGCTATGTTGACTGAAGTGCCTTTTGAAGAATGCGTGTTTCTTTGTTCCGACGGCTGCTTAGAGGGCCGTGCTGCTGCTGCTGCTGCTGCTGCTTAAAGCAACTCTCTTCTCATGGGGAGCGCAGCAGTGGGTGCTGCGGCCTCCACGTTCATGCGGGAGGAGCCAACTGACTTAGCGAACTGCTCCCGAACACCAGGAGAGCCTCTAGGCTAGCGTTGTTATTGCTGCTGCTGCTGCTGCTGCTGCTGCTCGTAGTAGTTGTGATAGTCGTGCTAGTAGCCTGCAGGCAAACGGTGGCCGCAGAAGCAGCAGCAGTAACAACAACAACCACCACCACCACCACCACCACCACCACCACCACCGCCACCGCCGCCGCCGCCGCCGCTGCCGCCGCCGCTGCTGCTGCCGCTGCCGCCGCCGCCGCCGCCGCCACCGCCGCTGCCGCTGCTGCTGCTGCTGCTGCTGCCGCTGCCGCTGCCGCCGCCGCTGCTGCAGTTAACGCAACAGCACACAGCAGCGTACACAGGCCGAGCCGAGCCGATATACTACCATCCGCCAGTGGAAGACAACAGTAACAGCAGCCGCGGCCGCAGCAACATGAGTTTAGTAGCAGACGACAACGACGAGGGCAGGAACGGCGACGGCTACGGCGGCAGTAGCAGCAAAAGCAGCAGCGGTGGTACAGTTGCTTCTTAAGTTGGCTCGTCGGTTGCCTGTTCAACGTTCTCCCCGAAACCCGCACGGCCTTTCTTGGGGATAGACTATTCATTTGATGTCCATCCAAGGTCTAGAGAGCAGACGATGTTACGCGAGCGCCATCTTTCTCTCTAAATGGTAAACTTACCACAATAGAAGCAGTAGTGAGTAGTTGGTGCGCAGAATGTACTTATCCAACAGACGTGTAAAGACAAACATAGCCAGGAAAAATGTGCGCGGTGGACGTTCGTGTAACCCGAAAGTCCGCCGATTGACCTGCCAACTGTAAAATTACAAAATCTAATGTAGCACAACACGACTTTGTTGTTATATAATATTATATTGAAGACTGAACATGTAAGTTTGTTGACTAAAATCGTATAAGCAAAGTATTGCTAATGGTCACTAACTCATTGTCCTTAGGTTTTTTTACAGGTTTAACGTATAAGATTGTTATTTGTCTGATGTGTTGTAATAATAATGTTAACAGCGGCATATGAAATCGTATCCTGTGTCAGTACTATTGTTACGTAGGATATGGAGCGAATGGTTGAACTGTCGTTGCAGTTGCAAAATGTGAGTGTGCGTGAATATAATTTACGCTAATTGTTTTAAGTTACCTATGCCTATTCTCAAGAATACGCATGCAACGCTGATTGCGCGGAGTCGGCAAATAATTCGGACAGCTGTTTCTTTGAGTCGACTATTTCTTGTCGGCCTATGAGGTACACTGGAGAATTTGTGATCAGTGGTGGCTATAGCACGTATATCAGTACATAACGAAAGCATAAACTGGCGAGGCTTTAACATTTACATTGCTCATATTTATAGATAAAGGAATCTATGTAATTTAGAAGTATTGAATAGTGTAATACTCTGTGAAGGTTAGTGATGTGATGGACAAGTGATGGTTTATATGTGACAAGAAGTATTAGGGTTCTAACTATATGAGATCAATAGTTAGAAGATATGATGATACAGAATTCATGAAAAAATATTAGTAGATTTATAAATACTGAGCAATGAAAAGTTGGATTCCACGGAGAATAAGGATATACAGTATAAATGCGGGCAAGAAATGAGCAGGCAACGTAAAAGATGCCCCGAGTCAATCAGCAATTATACTAACAGGTTTGAGGGAAACAAATCATCCAACAAAATTGTCAAAAAAGGCACAACATATTTCCCAAGAAGTTAGAATAAAACCTGTTGACCTTTTCAGTGGTAAAGTAGTAGGCCCGCCAAGGATCCTTTTGAAGAAAAACTCAACCCATTCCAAATCGATAGCATTAACGACAAGCTCGGCAAAGCGACGGGGCAAAAACAGTAGGAAGAGATTCAGTGCCTCCATTCAGCATTCTGAGGAAATATTTGTGACAGCATTGAAATGGAACTTGAGCAGGAATCAGAATCGGAAAGAGACTCTAAGGCGAAATTTGGCTAACTGAGTTAACTACAAAAGTAAACTACAGGCGGAGAGGTTTGAAGGCAAAAACGAAAGACGCATAGGCCGGATTCTCAAAATTGATGTTCCAAGGAAACCGAGTATCTCAGTATAATCATGCGGCAGTTCACAAACGCATAGACCATTTCGACTTTCAAAAACGGAACAAAACGATAAGCGTTCTGCAATGGCGTCGTTACGATGCGGACACATCAGTGAAGCTTATACTAATGTCTTCATTTGTGTATACCTTTTCTTAATGAAAAATTTTGCGACGCACGTAAACAAGCTGATACTAATCGTTTTGTAAGCGAAAAGAGTCCCTCAATTATCGTCGGTCACACTTGTGCGTAAGGATAAATTTGCAGATATTTGTATAGTTACATGATCAGAAAACTCATTATAGAATTACTTAGAAAGAAGCGAAGAATGAGAAGGAGCGAAAATACGCAAAATGCCTGCTGCTTTAAGCGTAAAGACATACCTATTAATGCACATACATTATTATGTACAGAGTTTGCTAAATATCCGATACTTTAGTTCTCTTTACCCCATTTGGAGCGTCCAAAACTTTTATTTGGCGAAGCATTTCATATTTTGATTAATTTTTTTTAGCTGTTAAAACATATAGGATGATCCATCAAATTTAGAACAAATATTGCCGGGTAATTTGTCATAGCATATAATTATGTCGGAAAACGTTACGTCGTTTTTCTTTTTTCTTCTAAATGATATATTATGTTACTTTTTAACGAATCCGCGCTGAGGTTGTAAAGTGCTCGGATCATCATCAGTCGACAGTTTACGGCATTGCAAATAAGTGGCTGCAATAGGAACAGAAACAGCTTCTAAGGACAGTACGAGGCTACTTTTATAACAGAGGAAAAATAGTACAGGTAATTAACGCTGTCAAAAAGTGCTTTCCGGACAGTCGTTTTTTGTATCAGGCCATCAGCGACAAAATTTAATGTAAGTAAGGTTACAATGTTACAAATTGCTTAACAAAACATTAGGGGTATACGCCACAGGGCATAAACATCAAACAGATGCTGAGACCTTAAAAAATTCGGTAGACGTTGTTTGTTCCTCAAATTTATTTGGAATGGGGTAGCAAGTCGTCTTTTTTCCGAAATGTTTATCATCGATGCAAAAACCAACCGCAGAAACAGCCGCTGGCCCGCTCACGATTTGTATGATGTGGCTATTTTTTGTAAAAGCGATTCTCCGGCCGATACTCTTGCTCTGAACAGGGCGTTTAGTCAAAAAAATATCATATGCCCATGGTTCTTCCAAAAAGGCAAATGTCTGAGTAAAGAAATTTGTTTGCGCTACAAACTGTTAGGCGATTGTTTATAGCTGAAGTGTCTAAAGAAGGACCTTATGTTTTGCGGGAAGATGGTGCATCGGCCCATTTCAGCTTGTTAGAGCAGAGTTGGCTGCTTAAAATATGAGCATTTTCTAGAATAAGAACATACGCCACCTTACAACTCAGATTAAACCTTTTCGATTGCCATGCATCGAGCGTGATTAAGCGGTAATGCAAGAGGTCCCGACATGGCAGAGTCAACTCGTTCACTTGTGGTATCAAAAAGGCGTTGGTACATCTGCAAAAGAAGCAACGAACCTGCAAGCGGCCCAGGCCTCGAAGTAAAGCCGTAATTGCGGTGAATTATGATTACGTTAAATTACTATATCACTTTTATATAACATTATATAACATTTCGTTCAAATATTTGCTATTGTTTAGATACGGTTTAAGAAACAAGACCAGGACCGGGCAACACGGACATTTGCCGGACGAAGGCACGCTGTAGTTTTCAGATCAATTCATTAAGCGTCTCCGTTCTCGCACAGATGCGCTTGTTTGTCTTTTTTACCGACCTACGGCTTTATATAGTGATTTCGGCCTATTGACAGTCTGTTCTTTTACCGTTTTCAAACTTTCTTGGAGAAACGTTCTTTCTTTTTTGATACTAGTTATTAGCTCAGTGTTTCTTGCCACATCTGTTCTACAGCTTGTTTTTAATCTACCGCACTACTATGGGAGATCTTTCCTTCTAATAATTATCTCTTTCTGAATTTTTGAGACTCCAGATGAGCTGTAAAAAAGTAGCCTCTTGGCGCAGTAAGATGTGCAGACTGATGTTGTTTACATTAGGTTTGGCAAGAAACCGGTTACGGCCTTAACGACAATGTCTAATCAGTTGAATCTGGTAGATTAACTTTTATTCCGTTCCGGTGTTAACAGGCAAGATAGGTAGGGTAACTAGGGAAGTTCCGAGACATATTCGTATTTTTCTTATGCTCAATTTGCACTCTGCAAATAACGATAGTGCCAATTTTAATAGGCTATGTTGTTGACTGGATAGCTAGGCCTATTACCGGTGAATCTACCAAACATCTAGATGTTAAACCTATTATTTGGAGGCCTTAAGAGTCTCGAATTTCTCATGGCGCGTGGCACTATTTTCTCCATACTCTTTTTTTGCCGTTAGTTTCATCCTCCCGACTTTTACGGTCAATGACATCGGTCTTGTCTTCAAAACGGATGAAAAATTGACGTAAATGACCATTACGTTCAACGCGCTTGGGGTCCACCTGTATGCATAAATTAGTCCGTATTTTTAACTTTCTCGGTACCAATGTCGGCATAATCAAAATCGGTCTGTTTAGAAAAGATGGATACAGCATATAATTCAGGTTCATAAAACAACAGATATGTAATGAATGAAAAACAATGAAGAGGACTAGATATATACTTGTTACTAGGTCTTCGATAGCAAAAGAAGGAGATTACCTTAAGCTTCGGTTTTAAACATTGATTCACTTAATGACAGCTAACATATTTTCTGTAAAGGCTATTAATTCTCTTGATAGCATCATAGCTTATTCTTCGGCGTTCTCTATAAATTCTGCGCAGCGTCTGTTCTATTTGTTTTAGATCCTAAAGATGCAATATTATAAAAAAAAACGCATAGGGTACGTTTTACCCTGGAAATCTCTTAAAGGTTATGTGAATGCAGTAGGAAGTAGAATATTTGTCAATATAATATGATATATAACATGTAATGATATGTAGAAGACGAGAGGCATTATCTACATATTCTCGAGCGTATTGCATTGTATCTTACCTTCTGTAATACGCTTCTCCATCGGATTAAAATTAATCATCTTAATTTTTATCTTACGGCTTACAAAAGTTTTATGTTGCTGACATTTACCTATTGTTGCAAGGTTTGGCGATCTTGCCTAAAGAAATACATTGATGACGTTGAAAAATTCCAAAATACCTTTTTGAAAAAAATGCGCTACAGCGTAATATGAATTGCAACCGATTTGAAACTTTGAAACCGATAAAACTTTGATAAAAAAGATGACGTAAAATATTTAAAAAGGAGAGGGCGAATGAATTATACATCGATTATAATTGCATGGACTACATAATGATAATATGTTTGCGTGGATGATGTTACGTGGAGGACGAGAGACAAGCACGGCAAGACAAGTAATTGCATAAGTAATTCATGTTTGTCTAATACATGACATGTTATAGAAACCGCCTTCTTTCTCAATTGTATCTGTCATAGTACACTAAGGATGGCTTCTAAAAAAAAGATTTGTTTTTTCTATCTTTGTAAAATTGCACAATAAAAAAATGAGGCTTGGGCTTGATTTAGCTAGGGTGACCCTTTCGCGATGTTCGCTGATCTGTTCAATCAATCTCTCCTTTCTTTTTGGTTAGTCGTTTGTTTCCACGCCCTTCCAACTCGAACACGAAAATATGGAACACAATGCCGCTGACAATGTGATTAGATATTGCAGTCACTTCTTGCATTCGTTGGGTATTTCTTTGCCCTGTCTTGAGTGGTAGCATACATCTAACTTTTCGACCAAAAGTTCGACGATTTTCGACCAAAAATTCCCCTTGTTTTTTGCATTGGTACATTAAGGTCGCTTTTTCTCAGATGGGTTTGCTGATGTCTCCGTGGTCGGCAAATAGCTATCTTGACCGTTCTTTGTTAGCGGTCAGCCTGACGTTGTCTCATCCTAGTCGTTCCTCCGATACAGCTAAGGGGCAGCGATGTATACAACTAGGTCAGTTTGCCGAGGAGAGCTTTGTCGGACCCTCGACACCCTAAAACGATCTAGGACCGTGATCCTTTTGCATATTTTTTCTCAGTCAGTATGTCTTTGTTGCTAGTCACACGTCCCCGGTGTATGTTTCACAGAAATGATACTGAGGGACTCTGCAGTCTTTGCTGTTATCTGCGTAACAGCCAACAATTTCTTCATATAATAATTGCATAGAACTTGCGAGACAAAGTAGCCTCCTCATTTTGATATTTCTGAGTTTTTAATCATCGTGCAAATTGTATCCGTAGAAAAGTGTTTACGATGATTTAGAAGTTCTTGCGGAACATGAACTGAACTTCCTCGCCCTCTAAAGAAACCTTTCGTAACGACAAGTATATCATTGCTGAATGCAGAGTAAGGGCTTCCAGAAAAGTGTATAATAGTTTACATTGTATGACTCAGCAATAGAATTTTGAGGCAAGTTTCCGAAATTTCATGTGCTAACTTCATTCGGTATTTCGTCACTCTGTATGAAGAAACTTATTTTTCATGTTCACTTTTTACCTTTCGATAAGCGAAATTTTGATAACTCTGTTCCTATGCTTTTAAATTTTACGGGCAGAACGGTAAGGTCTCAAAATAATTCAGACACAGAAGAAGGCGATCTAAGTTAACTTAGTTCCACATAGTTCGAGATTAGCTTTACGAAACACAATTAGTCAATATTCATTAAGAACTTGAAAAGTTTTAGCTTAAAAATAAATTTTACACGATCCTATTTAAAACATATATACGTTGTAAATTTATGCGTTTATTTATATGCTACACAACAGATGTGTTGAAACTGGGTATCGGTAAAGGAAGTCGGAAAACAGTTATGAGGTACGACGAACGTTTTCTTTCTTTTTTCCCGTTTAGATTTTTGATCAGTCTGCTGTTAATACTTAAATCTTGAGGTTCAAGTACTTTTTATACAAACACACAATACACGGAGGCCGCATCGTTTAGAAGCAATCTGGATTCATTTATATTTATTAAAAAGTTACGTAAAACACTTGTATCGCCCGGTTAATATCGCCCGCATATCGCACACTCGAGAAAAGAAACACACTGAAGAGATAATTTTTACCATTTAATTTATTCCCGCTAATAATGATGAAAACATAAGTAGGATTAAATAATAAAACTACCTATCTTAAACTATCTTTACTCGCTTCGACATGCCTGAGCAGCTTTTCTCTTGCCTTATGTTGTTCTTGTTGTTTCTTCGGCATTAGCACGCTAGATAAATGCTCACATGTTAAACGTGAATCACATGTGAAACGACGAGAGTTCCTTCTAAACTCTCGTCGTATTCTCTGGCCCGGCTATTTGTTGTCGACCAGGTCGTTTTTCGTTGACCGAGCATGATTTTCCAATATATATATATATATATATATATATCTATATATTGACGATGCTCGTGACGATGGTAACAACAATAAAACTAGTAGATTACGCTGACCATGCCATGTACTAAAACATAGTAATTGTATTACTAACAACTAAGAAAATGCGGATAAAAGATGGATATAATATATGCGGATAAATTTTACCTAAGCCACAGCAGCATGCGCAATTATATGCCAATTGTCCCGATAAGTCCCGATGTGTAAAGGTGAAACAGAATATTCGAAAAGTAGAATTTTTAGTTAGTTTATAGAAATGACATGTAGTTTGATATTCATACAATAATAACACGTCGTTACTGTTTGAATATCAGGTACCATGTAAACGAACACGGTCGTTTTGCTAATTCCTGCCTTTTTCATCCGCGTCGTTGCTATCACATACAAAGCTATGACCATAGGTTTTTTTGAAATTTATTAGGGCGTACGCATTTTCTCACATTTTCTCTTCCGTACGATGTCTTCATGTGCTATGTGATGTGTCTTTGCGATGCGTGTTTATGTGATGCAAAAAAATATGAAATATGGCTCTTAGGAGCGGTACACAATATCTTACAAGCACGCTTTGTTGCAAATATTTGTCCAGCCTGCGCCACCGTCTTGCCAAGAGAAATCTTTATTGCACTCGTTTTCACATCATACCACTTTGGTATTACAGTTAGTACAACAGCTTGATTTTTAAGGAAACAATAGGCATCTTTGAAAGATTAAAACAGGATTCTCCCAAAAGTTGCATAGGTTAAATGGCTTCAGTTTATAGTTTAGATACATAAGTTAAGTGTTCACAGTGGCAAAACTATGTTTTGCTTACGTAGGCCAAGAACTTCAACGGTTGATTTAACTGTTGTTGCTTCTCTCGAGTCAGAAAAAATAAAAGCTACATTCGTTATATGAACAGTTACTGCATTATTGAAATCGAACGAACCTAATAAAAGATTGAAGCTAATGATGGTAATTCAATTCGGTAAATAGTTTCTGGCTTAATAGAATGTTGTTATGTGCCAAATGATTTTTCAGAATTCGTGAATCCATCGTACATTATGCTATTGATTTTTGTGGCACTAGGAGCGTCAAGCTACGGTCTTGTCAGTATAGGACCGTTTTGCGCTTAATCCTTACTTTTGCTATAACTTGCAACACTAAGCATCGACTCTATGTAGGACTATACGCATATATGGCTCACCTCGTTTTGTCTAATAAAGGAATGCTTGTTTTTTTCCAATGTTTTTATGAGTTTTATGTAGATTTTATCAAAAATGTGCATTTTCTGTTCTGTAAATGTGATACCCTTCTGTAAGGTTAGTACAACCTCGACTGAAAATCAAGTTAACATAGTTAAAAGTAAATTACAGACATCTATAACGATTGCCGAGGAATAACTTAAGAACCATACGGAAATACAAATCGCAAACGCTTGTTGTGTTGTCTGCTCCAGAAGATGATGCGAAGTCATTACAAACAATTCCCGAACACTGCAATATTATTATAATATCAAAGAAATATTGCCACAAAGCTTCGCAGAACCGGTCTGTTTATTCGCAAATATCGTTATTTGCAGTCCTGTTGTTCCCGGAACATTTGGCTTGGTTAACAAGGGAGAGGAGTGGAGAATAATACAATAGTCGTTGACAAAATGTCTAGTATAGGTCTGTAGTTATGTTATCTTGAACATGACATCATCCTTTAAATCGCTGTCAGGTAATTAGAAGACTTCCGCTTGAAATACGATTAATTTAATTAACATCAAGACCAATTTAGATTAAGCACGTGATTCAGATAACGAAAACAAGCAAAAATAATCGGGTCATAATATAACGAAACTTAAAAACACATTACAAAACCTCGTATAAAACCAGACATCTGATGTACAGGATTCTATTGTTCCCTTAAGGAACATAGCGTATATGTTCATAAGGAAAAGAGGAAACATACCCCAGAGCACAGGAAAACGGACTGTTCGTTACAATACAGACTACAACAACATCAATTTCCGATACATTTCAAAACGAGCAAAATGAAAGTGAGTAGATTTTGCGGTAAGTGACCACTCTTGCATGAACTAATATTACATTATATGCTGCAATCAATTTTATGAAGAAATTATTTTTATGCGAATTTGAACTGAGTGAAAAATTTCGTGTTACGTAACGAAGCATTTTAAGACGCACAACGGTTAAATAAAGGTAGGCTAGGTGCTTGCTAGATAGGCGCTAGCAATCCCGTACGGATTCAACTTCTTTCGAAATAATCCTAAGCAGACACGGCAAGCGAACTGTAGTAATACATATTTTCCCCAGTGGTCAAGGGAAAGCAACTTTCCATGAAGTTCAAACACTTCTGTTGCATAGAACGGAGCCAGTCGCAAATTGAAAAAAAGATTTGCTGTTATTTTTGTGGTCGAAAAGTTCCACCGGTACTTGATGCTGTAATATTAAGTTTGTTATTTATATTTTACCAGAGTTCTCAAAAAAGAGAAAATGTAATATTGAAACGAATTTGGATAAGGGCTTTGCTCTACAGGTTCTACACTGTTAATCATACTCCAACAAAATTCAAGTTGAGACATCGATAAAGAACATGTAAAGAGCGGTAATAAACTACATGGAAGAAAATAAGTGCTAAAGGCCCTTTTTCGAATTACAATAATCGCAATCATAACTTCCACTCAAAAGGTGGCTACTTTTTGGATAATTAACTGTGACATGAACTCGTTTGTGAGTTAAAATCTTCTCAACGCTTTACAATGGATACCAGGTGAATTCTACACATGAAGCAATTTGCAAAGATTTATCTATCGGAACTTAATTAATCAGGACAAAGAAGAAAAGGTGGCCCCAGGCGGTGAAGTAAGCGACGGAAAGGGAGGTGTGGTCGCTAAGCTCGATGCGAGAAAAGACAGCCTTATATTGTATGAAATCTCTAGATTCAGACTGTAGAGACTGTAGAGGAGGACGGCGGGACTTCTACGCCCATGTTTTGCAATGCAGGAGAGCCGGGACCATTGGAGGATTGGGGTGACGCCGCGCAGCTACGAAGTCGGTGGCCAATTGATAGGCGTCACAGCAACGGTTAGTATACAAAATTGCGACAAGATAAACCACGCGAATGATGCGTTGTTCAGCATAAAGAAATATGATTATCTAATATTTAATAGGGGCTTCAACAGAAAGTAACATGCATCAATCAAAACGACGACAAGCTTATCGAGCAAACACAATTTTGGCCTTAGGACGGGTAGACTAAAATCAATAAACAAAGATTTTGTGTACAAACCTAAGTAGCTGAGTAGCTTCAAGTAATAGTTTAAGCCTTGTAAATGTGATTATGGCCGGAATATTTGCCACTTAATATATTTACAAAATACGCTATCGTGTATTGATGTATATGGATTTCAGCACGGCATGCTTTTATGTTACATAAAAAAATATAGATATGACCTATGAAAAAATAAATGGTATTCAACATATTCAACGATATAGATCTATACTGGGATCGAGCGTACAGAGGCTTTAAGTAGTGAATTGGCACATATGGTACTATAGGTCTCTCACGGAGCATAAATAATAATAATAATAATAACACAGTAAATGAATCGGTTCTTTTTTTTACAAGAATTTGATTGCGGAAAGCTGTTCGCGAATGCAATAGTAAAGATTTTGCAGGTAGGAAGATAATACCACACTTCGCATAAAACGCAGATTTTTTTGTGTATTCATAGCTATGTGATTGCTATATGGCCAGAAATGGGAAGTTTCCGATGCGAAGTACGTTACTAATCTAAGTCGCATGAAAATGTTCTTTTGACACATCAGTAAGGTAAAACGCCAAGGAGTATAGCAAATTCTAACCGTCTTAACCTTAATTTAGATTAAATATCTTTGAAATAATATTTTTCTATGTTATATAGGTCTCTAAAAAATATTATTCTGTATTAGGTTAGTATATTTATACCTGACTTCGACGAAACAGTACTTATTGAGAACCAATTTAGGGCAGCTGGTGGGCTAAGGTTGGGCATAACCATATGCGATAGCGAACCCTGGGGGCGCGGCAAGAGTGTAGACGAAATTCATTGGCACAAGCTACGCTTCATAAAAATGACAGATTTATCCCAGGAAACATTAAGGAGGTGACCAACAATATTTTTTTGTTAAATAGGGCATTTGGACAAACGGCTTTTTGAGGCTAAATTTAAGCAACCTGGCCTTCAGCAAAACGGTCGACAATGACATTACCAGCATGTACAAGTGATTTTGCTTCCCGTAAAATGCGTTGATAAGTGGCGATAATTACGGAAAAATTAACGATCTCATTTATATTGCTCTATTAATATCTATAATGCTGAAACAATCATTTTTTAATACATGAAAATAATCGTGTAGAAATCATGGCGATGATATTGATCATTATGTTTGACTGACCTAAGTGTCCTTCGTCTTTCGTCCGATATTTCTGTCACGCGTCCCATCAGACGGCTGACTTCCACCACGACACGAAGTATGTTGACATTTTCATTCGAACCCACGCCACCAGATGTCGCCAATGTTTAACAATCGAACATTACGCCATTATCGTAACGTAATGAAATAATCTAAGAACAATTTTAGAAATCACTATATAAAGTAGGCCATTAATAAAAGAACTTGAATTATGTGCGTATTAATTTTTCATCTCTTTGTCAAATCTGATCCCTTTAATGCATGCGCCAAATTTTTCAAAAACCTGGTATTGATTTTTTTAGTAGAAAAAGTTAATTATTATATAAAAAATACGTCGCAACGGTTTCTCTCGTCGCCGGAAAAGAAATCTGTACGAAGCTTGCCTTCTAGTGCAGAGAAGTGTAGAAGTTGCACAGTTATCAATAGTGTACTTTATCAATAAAGTATATGCATATTAAGATGTTTGATAGATAGCTTGTAAAAACAAGACCGCATTGATGTGCGTTGCGTAATTAAAGCCGGTTCCAAGCATTCGGCATTGCCTTTCCTAAAAAAAAAATGTATTACAAAAAAACATTATTTTTATTAAGGTTACATGAGCCTTGTAATATCAACATGGTAATCCTTACTGAATATAGGTTTAACAAGTAAACGAAAAAACCGTTGTTAAGTAGGACCTAAGCGCACAGTGTAAAATACAGCAAGATTACAATGGCAATGGCAAATTTTGTTAAACTAGCCAGTACGACCGTCATTGAACATATAGTTTTAACGCTAATTAGAATATTAGACACGGATGACTCTATTTCGATCCTAATTCGATACTTACTACTGTATTTTTTCGAAAAGATGAAAACAATACGTTCATTTAACATCGAGCTGGAGGCAATCGTAGTCCTGTTATGCTTTCTCCGCTAGATATGCGCTCATTCGCCGCAGCGCGCTTTTGGCGCTTCACTGCGATGTTTGTCCTAGCTGCTTAAACTTAGAAGTTCGAAGCAGGTTTTTTTGTTTAAAGTGGACTTGTGAGCATTGGTTGGGTACTGTATTGATTTAAGTTTTTTTTGAAGTTTCACTGTTAATTTATGCATTGTATTAATTATCGCGTGCTTCCGTGGGTGAAAGTGTTTAATCGAAATAAGTTGGCCAATTTGTATTTCTTTTGCGACAGTACTTACTTACGACATTTCCTAGAGAAATATCTCAATTCAATTCAGGTTAGTTAACAAACACCTGTGTATTTTAAGAAAATGGAAGTAAATCTTAGTACCAAATGGGATGCAATGGACCGAAACAATAGGTATAGAAACACTTGCACTCGTTTTATAGCTATTCTATTTATTATTATTATCCAATCACTAGCCGCAGATCAGCTTTTAAATGTATAACATATTATCTGCAAGTTTTTTCGATGCGTTAGAATAGGTATCGTACGTATTTTTGTCCATGGTTAAAAGTAATAACTATAATCAATATGAACTAAAGCTAGTATATCCATGATTTTCTTAAAAAAATCTCATGTACTCTGTACATGTACGGAATCTGTAAATCTCATGTACGGAAAACTGATGCTTCAATATGTGATAGGCAGCATAATGTTAGGAAGGAAGAGGTAAATTATTTCCAGAACGTTGAATGAAGAAAGAGAATAAAAAAGCTTCTTCATTGGCATTGTAATATCTAGAGCTGTTTCGGGCACCCCGACATTCTGCGGTTTCGGTGCTCCCATTCCACATGACATACATGACGATAAATGCTTTGCACTTTTGGGGCAAGCGGATCTGAAATCGCGAACACGAAGCCTCGTACCAAGACGTTGTGTCTGTGGAAACAAAGATACTATTAAAATAAGGGTTTAGAAAAGGATAACAGATTTAAAAAAAAGACATTTTTATTAACTAACTACGATTGTACGATGTAAACATCTGAACTATTTAAGAGACAGAATATTTCGTATGAGGCGTATCAAGTAATTTATGTGTTACCCATCTAGTTTTCTTCGGCAAAGAGCTATGAGTGCACGCAAGTTTCGCATCATTTCTGATTCCGAAGAGGAGGATAATGATATTGGTCCACAGAGCGGCCATGGAGTGGCCGTAAGAAGCTCACCGCAGTCAGTACTGGAAAGTGAAAGTGACAAAAGTTATAAAAGCAACGATAGTGGTACAACTGGTACGTACAACTTGAGTTTAAAATTGAAGCTGATACATGCACCTTATACATGGCCTTATATGTAAGAACAAGTCGATGTAGACAAAATATTAGACAACTACCTGGTGAAAATGTACTTTTGGGTTTAAAAGTTCTGCCCGGTTAGATAAATGGCTCATTATAGATGTTGCATGTTCACTACTATTCTAATAAGAACTATTAGTGTTCAAAATTTTTCGGTTGGTTATGGCCATTTATTCATTTACTAGTATAATTATGTATCTTTATTATTATATTTCTACTAGGTTTCAGAGGTTCGAAAAAACTAAAGAAACGGAGAGCCCGGCTCGACTCAGATGATGACGATTCGGAATCTGAAAAAGCAGAAAGTGGAGTTCTCACCACGAATAGAAATGAGGTATGTGTTTACTTTATGCTTGCATGGTTACGCCTCTGATGCCAATATTTTTTGTTGTGCTTAAAGCCATTAACGTCTCTGGCAATTCGTTTTATGGGCGCATCGATCTGATTTCTACGCACATTCAGCAAGTATACCACCGTATTTTATTTACGCGATATTTCAATATACAAGCCTTTGCGACCTTCTGTGTGCTTCGAGCCTTAACGTGTTACAAGACTGGAGCTAAAGGTTGGAACGGTCTACATTTTTGTTATTACTAGCTTTTTATTATTTATGTAGAGGCCAATTGAACAGATTTTATTCAAATTACAGTAAAACATATTGACATGTTCTGTTGTTAATTTTATAGAGTTACTGGTTACTATATCTCTTCAAACTGGATTCCTTAATTAAATATCCTCCTTAATGAATTGTCGCCAGTCGCTGGACACTGGAGCGTCTGAAGACGAGACGAGCCATTTGAGTCGCGAAAATTGCATATTCAACGATGAACAAGATCATGCCAACAACAACGATGGCGATGATGATTTCAACAGACAGTACAGATGCAACGGTTGGTAACTTTGGCGATACAATTATCTCGTTGTTACAAAACTATAATTAGAGTTTATTTCGCATTGTATAGTATTTTATAGATCATTCTTCATTGCTTATTAATTTCTTTGTACGGGCAGCTCTTGCGAAGTATTCCAATGAAAGTACTTCCTCCATCCTGAGCCGATAGTTCATAAGCACACTTTTGGTTAGGACTATCTGGAGTCGTTTGTTACCTAGCCATGTGCTTCCGTTCATATGTTACTCTGTTCCATGTTCAAATTATCATGCTGCTCATATGCAGTGCATTCTAAAAGGTAAAATATATCTTCTTCTTCGAAATACAAGCATTTCATCTGTGTACAACGCCTAATAATTGTCCAGGCTTATGTCATGGCCGCCTTTGTTCACGTATTGTTAACATGGCTACATAAGATTTGTCCTAGTTTAGCATAACTGACGCAGGTACATTTTCTGGCATGTCTATAATATTTCGTCACGATGAGTAAATTAATTGGGTTTACAAAGTTACACTTGTAAGAATTTTACAGTTCTATCTCTCGTACACAAATCACCTCCTATACGAACTGATGCTAGTAACGATCTATAAGTCTCTAAACGGATGTTACACTCCGTGATGTCTATATCAAAATCGAATGCGTGCAGAACGACACCTTCTGGTTCGATCTTAAGCAGCAGAGGCAGAAATGTTTTATTTTGTTTTTGTGGTCCGCTTTAAGCACGCGTTTAATTCTCATGTATTTTGCACTGGTCCCGGAAATGTTTGCCCATTTACTTTTAATTTCTCAAATTTAAGTTTATTAGTGATAAATCATTGTTAATTATACGTATGTGATTCATCTCATGGTGCTATAAGGTGTCTAGTTATTGACGTCACGTTTCCCGTGGAACTTCATAACGACCTTCCTTGTAACAGGAACCTTTTGCCCATTTTTCTTCAATCAGAGATATTTTTGGACCTTTATTATGCTTAACTTATTTAATGATAATCGGGTAATTGACTTCACGTTTTGATTGCAATCTGCTGCATGATATACGTGTCAGAAAGTCGCGCGTTAATATGCGTAGCTTCCTTTTCGCTGTCCTATTGGCGGCGTAATAGATTCACGAGACAGTGGCATACAAAGACAACAATCGACACTTCGACCCAGGCGTTGGTGTCACCTCGGCCGATATCGTGTCAGCCCGTTGCTTAGAAACAGGCCCCAATGGCGTCTGGTTGGCATGTTCAGCGATTACTAGCCATAGTAAATAACATTACTTAGAACGGAGTGTCTTGGATGCACCTCCTCACTATTTCGGGAGAGATTTGCATATCTGCCGCTAGTGATTACCTGTGGTTCCTGTAGATGCTTACGACGGTTCTGAGAACTATCTCACCGTTAAAGGTTTACTGCATAACAGCTAAAAGCTACCTAGATTAATGGCTGACTGCTCGTAAAGGTCAAAACGGCTCCACTTACGAAGATTGGCAACTAGCGGATAGTGTTAGAGAGGGGTCGAGTTGAGGGACATTTAAAGAACTACACAAGAGAGAGCAAGGTGAGTGTCGTGGAACTGCATACATATGCAAAAAACTTGTCGCCTTTGGCCATAAGGTCTGGCTAAGTGGACTTCTTTCTAGAGGTATTTTTAAAAACTCCAGCTCATCGCGGCGTAGCATGCTATGTCTAGGAGTAGCCTATAAACCTAAAAGTTCTACCTGGGCGCACTCATCATCCGAGCCATTTGTTACAAACAGTTCGCATTTAAAATTATTAAGAGAAAGGCTAAATGTATCTTAGTGTTGTGAAACCTTTTTTAGAGTCTTACGGACCATACGTTGGTCTCCTGCTAAAGTATCGATGTTTAAAAACCAAAGCCGTACTTCGAACTGCAGTCGTCCCAAAAGTTCCTGCGACCCAACCAAAATGGTGCTGGGGTAGAGGATTCAAGTTACACTGCATACACCGATAAGAATATTATTGACTTCTACGGCGGATCTGAATCGTAGCAATACGTTGCTATACGACGAAGATACTTGTGTATCCAATTAGATGTCCGTGAATGCAAAATGAAGTGCTAAATTAGAATTGAGGTGCATATGCTAAGTTACATACCTAAATAAGTTACATATCGCTAATAACGTGGGTGATTGCTTACTTTTAAAAGCCACACTTTTTACTTCAAAGTTATTGAAAATATACGTCTAAAGAATTTAAGTACCTTTTCTTCAACAAAATAATAGTGAGCGTAGACATGGTTCATCTTGGTCCATATAACATTATCATTACGTTTGACATCTAGAAGATAGAAGATAGAAGTCCGAAATAAGACAAGATTTGCTAAAGTTATTTCATTACATGGATCACTGTTTTACAGTTACAACTAATTCTCTTAGAACCGAAATACATTTTCTTTCACTTATTCATACTTATTACTATGATTATTTTTGTTGCATGTTAATAAAAAAACGTAACTTCAGAGCCGCATAGTCAAGAGCAAAGGCAAAGGGGCGACAATGACGACGATCATGATAATTCCTCAGAAAGAATGACTTCAGAGGAGGACGGAAACGATGGGCCAGACGAGAATCAACAAGATGAAGGCAATCAGGAGAACAACGATGATGGCGATGGTAGGAGCCTATAAAGCTTCGAGTATTTTTAATAGACTGATATTTATTGTTTCGTTATTTAATCACACCTGTGGTATAATATGTGTGAGTAACAGGTGCCCCCTATCAAAGGATGACCTAATATAAAAAAAAACATAGTTACAGCTTTGTTTTGATTGTTAGATTACTATTATGAAGTCAAATACAGACACAACTTGTATGCGTTTGTCTTCTTTCTTTAAAAACTGTTCAAGTACGTCTTTGTTGAACTTTACATCCTATATAAAAGGAAAAAGTTTTGTTTATAGACAGGAGAGCTGTCAAAGAGGCCAGTGGACGAATGGTTGCTACAAAACGCGTTGTAAAAAATCCTCAACCGAAACTGGATGTTACGAGACTGACAGGGGAGCGCGGACTTGGACAACTTCGAAATATGCATCCACATATTCGATTGAAAGGTCTGCATTATTGGCGTCCCAGTAGCCCTAGAGGAATAGAAGACCATCGCGGCACGTCAAGCGTTGCCGATTTTTCAGAGTATTTTTTCCAAACTTATTGTTTTCACCATACATAGTAAACTCTATGCTATATATATATATATATATATATATATGAGCTTTTGAGACATCAGATCAAGAAATGTGACCTAGCGAGGGATAATAACCATAACCTTAAGAGCCAACAGTCAGGACCTAGAGACTAGGGAAGTAACATTTGTACCGTTCAGATAAAACAAATTATTTTCATCTTAATGGTTTATTCTGGCTTGTAGGAAAAGGTCATGAGAAAGAAGACCTGCGCTGTATCTTACATCATCTTCAGCTGTGGGGCCATCGTATGTTTCCGCGTATGCAGATGAAGGACATCTTTGAAAGATGTGAGAGACTTGGCACCAAGATGCCTGTCAAGGTCTACCTCCGCAAAATGCGCACGGGACAGATTTATGATTTTAACCAAGTAAGCCAGTCTTCGCAAGCTCAGTTTTTTCATGCTACATAATCTTTCATTAAAGTAGTAGATATGGAAATACATTGAATCTATCTCCGACATATCGTGGGCTTTACATTTATGGCGATACGTGTTGGCCTTGCACTTTTAGCCTGTTATCGAGGACGAAGATGATATCCTGGGTACAGAGGGTAAACATGCTCCTGATGATGATAATCATCGTCCTGCAGATAAAAACGGCGTCGATAATGCAACCATACTGGAGGATGGTCGCGATCTCTTCGAACAGCTTGTGGCCTCGGAAACCACTAATCCAAATCTTGAGAATTGTGATCCTACCTTTTCATATAAAATTTCGTCAGATAATTCCGAGCCGGTAAGTGTACATACCGTTTCTTCGTCAAATGTTTAGTATAAATCAAATTACACATCATTTCATCTATTTCATCTTTGTTGGTAGTAGTCAAAAACTTCATATATTCATATTTCGACATCAGAGTGACTATATAGAATTCTTTAAAACACTTTACACCATCTGCGTTTTTCCAGTTTTGCTGAGTTGATACCATTAATTTTATTGATTAGACAGGCTCCCTAAAAATGGTTGCAGAGAACAACAAGCGACATAGTATCTATTACAATTTCCCGCGTATCTGGAATGCCTACACGCAGTGTATACTACAGAATTCATGCACGGCGAGTTTAGTGATGATATGTCTGCTTAGCTGGCTCATTGCCTTCCATTCGTTTTTTCATCGCACCGAAAGAGAGTAATCCCCATCAATTTTCACAAATTTTTACTTCCTGTTCCTTTCCGAAAACTTCCATTACTGGGGACCCTAGGCAATAACCTGGGTCCTTGGACAGCAGTGGACTAGGAGGTACGCAAAGCTGTTTTGGTTCACTGTATATAATCCCAGAGCTCTTTTAAGAAAAAAAGGCTTTGACGGAATTAAGATATTCAGTGTTCCTTATTGTAAGAGCTTCGCAAATGACCCGTATCCCACACGTTGCGATCAAAGCTACATCAAGGCCGAACGAGGTAAAATAGTTGTGAGGGATAAGTGATGAGGTAATTTGAACATTCATGCGGCCAACAACGCCTTCCTGCATCTTTTGGTGACGTGCGTAGTGAAACTTTTGCCGTTCGTGGAGAAAAACAACCCTAAGTACGGAAACGGGTTTATCCAGGTAAGAGGCGACATGGCAAAATACAAGGAGTCCAGTGTTCTGAACAAATCTACGATCAACACTAAATCAGTGCTTGCCGTATGAAGCCGGGCTAGAGCTTCCTGCCTCATCCTGTTCTCACCTGTTCAACCCATACCTCAGTGAGTCGCCTCTATACAAAATAACTCGAACTGATTACTCAGATCTCTTCTTTGATCAGGGAGACTTTTCAGCAAGAAAAAGGATAGGGTGGGCTCACGTTGTTCTCCTGAGCCAGGCTAGTCGACTATTTGAAGGGCTGAAGTTTGGCCATTTTGTCGTCAATGATTATTCTGTTCTCTTGTAGAGCCATAACGAGAAGATTAAGCACATTCACAAGGACCCTATCTCGAGCACTGTGGGTATAACCTTCTGGCTGGGCGCCGAGTGTAAGGATGCCTTGAAGTCGACGAATATTGCATATTGCAGGTTGCACGCCATACGTAATGCTCTTTTGGCGTCAGCCATCAAGATTACATACGTCGTTTTCGGGGAGCTTTTCTACGGAACTCGTGCTGCTCCGTTAGAATGGTATGTACGCTTTCTAAATAGCCGTCCAGCCTCTTAGTTAGCAAGCCGAGGAGCAGCTTATAGTAAATGCTTTTTTTCGCTGTTACCCGCCATGATGACGCCGTGCTTGGGTCCCCCTTGCCTTCATGATTATTGAAGGCAAAAACATCTTTCCAGCAGGCTCGAAACGTACGAGTATATAAACATCAATTAAATAGTCTAGCAGAGTGCAAGAACGTTGGCATATTTGGAATGCTCGTTCCAGACTCTATCTGGATTGGCGGCTTTCTTGATGCATAGGTTCCCAAGACATTGCATTAAATTCCGCATTGAAAGATATCGCGTTGTATTGACACCCCTCTTTCCACGATGCGGTAAAAAAAGGGCACCGCGCTCTGTATTGTATCGCTTAACGCAAAAGTCTCTAAGAAATGAGTCACTAAGGTCTGGAATTTAACCATGCAAGCTGCGGACCTGCCGTGGCGTTTTAGCCACTTGTATGGTCGTATGGTTTGCATCGCTGATCAAACAGGTCTCCAGGCGTTCAAAGTATTGTTGCTTCTGTGACTCATACGTTTTTTGACGGATCGTGTCGAAAACGGAGGGTTAAAGGTAGAACCCAGGCTGAGCCCTGACCATAAGTCTGAAAACCACCTGGACCCCCAAAGTGCACGTATAGTTGAACCACGGCCTGCGCTTCCGGGGAGAGGGAGGGGCTGTACTGTAGACTAGAGAAATGTAATCAGATACTGTGAATAAATTTCGGCATTCATTACATCAAGTATAGGCAGAACTTCGTTTCAGGAGCTTGTCAAGGAGTTTGGCATCTGACAATACCAGCACTTCCAATTTGGACAATGAGGTCCATTGCCATTGATGTGTGAGCTTCAGAAGCTTTACCTTATCCCTGGTTACGTTCACAGCAAACATATCGATAACCAAACTTCCTGTATATCTTGGAAGAATCTGCGCCAAGGTGGGATTAACTACTCAACGACTATAGCCCGTGAGTGTGTTCTGAAGGGCCGTAGTGCAGCTCAAATTCGGGCGGTAGGAATAAGCGTCGAGATCGCCATCAATTACCAAGTGAGAAGTTGAATGACAGAACAATGCTTCTAGTCTATTAACAAGTTTCTCTATTAGTAGGTGCATTAATTCTGAATTAACCGGCCAAACATAGGCTGCTTTAATACTTAGTCGCTGGCTACATAATGTTGTGCTCCACTGGGCACGGCATGAGGTCACCTGTCCTATGATTGCGTAAAAAGGGATGCTTCTATTAAGGCGGCTAATCCGTTACTCATAATTGCCGGGCAGTGTACAGAGTAGAAAGGCGGCAACTTGAAGGGGCTTATTACTCAAGTCTCCGTTAGCACGAGGATGTGAGTACTATCCAAGCTTCCAGGGAAAGGAGCCTCCTCACAGTTCCACTGTGTAATTCTTAGCCTCTCCTCAAGGTCCGAATTCGCTACGAACTGCATAATCGTCTTCAGGAGGATTCAAAATGTCTCTTGCTAACCAATCTTGTAGGCATTAATTACCACAATTTGTTTCACGAAGTCCTCGACCGTTGGGGCGGGTGACCGTAGTCAAACTGTTCGGCTTGGTGTGGCCTTTTTTATTTTTAACGGTGACTTCGTCCTTTAAGGTGACCCGGTTGCTGGAACGCTCGGCTTTAAGAGTCCGGCTAAGCTGTCTGGTTTGACTGTTTGACTCCTATCATGCTGTTGTCATTGATGAGCTTTGGATAAGTATCTTTTCATTCCTATATCTATTGTTTGTCGGGATTCGCATATCCATCTTCCCTGCTTCCATGCTTCTAGCAATGTTGTGGGCTATCTTCTCGGTTACCTTACTTTTAGAACTACATTGTACGTTTTCAACGATGGAATGCTGTGATTTGGAGAGCAAAAGAGCCGAGAATTTTGTATTTTGCTTTCCTTGCAATAATATCATTTGCCGCTTTGCAATCCTGGACGAAGAAAGGAACGGAAGGTGCATACCTCTAACACGGGTGGCGAAGTAATGAGCGTCTTTGAAGAAGTGTCCCTTTTCCTGATATATCTGTCCTTTGTAAATTTTATGCATTTCTGATAAGCAGTCTGTAAAATACAGCAAATACACTAGTACTATGGAGCAGTTTGTTGCGGTATTTTGCTGCCTTTGGTTTATACCTACAGATTTATACCTGCACACTACAGTGTAAAACCTAAAAGACTTTAACTTCGTACGGCAACGATATTAAGTTCTCTAAAGATGTTGTCCTCGAAAATTTACACGGTTTCTAGCGCTGTCCAAACAAATATACCAAAAACTTGAAAGTAATCAGTCTAACTATCTTTAAACGTAAGAGGAAGGTTTGAAAATAAACGCATGATTAGATTTGCTAATCGCGATACATCGCATTCATTTATAATGTGTCACGAGCTTGGAGATGAATAACGTGTGATAAACTAAGAGCTTGTAGCGATAACTTTACACTATGCCTGTTTCAGACTATAATGGTTAGCGACGATCTCCGGGCCCAGATCGCAGTTAAACGCCTTAAAGCTCTGCAGAAAAGAGAGCAAATCAGGAGGGAGCGGGAACAGTCGCAGCAACAAAGTCTAGAAGTTGAGCAAATGATGATAGGGTGACAAAGCTGGAAAAATGGAACTTGATCAGCAAACAGATATACAAATTAAGATAGCGTTGTAGTTTGTTTGGATGAGCGAACTCTTCCAAGGGAAAGGGATAGAGGTGAAAGCGTTATTTGCTAAAGGGATATTTTTAAATGCTTTGACAGTGCAACTTGAACACCACCGAAGCACTGCAAAATTATAAAGCATATTTTTTTTTTACAGAAAATGTGATTTTGCCCGGGCTACATGAATTGACGAAGTGACTGTTGTTAAAATCCGCAATTTTTTTTCCAATTTGCTGATGAAACAAATCATACCCAAGGACGAATCTTGAAGTGAAGAATATTCACAGATACGTAATAGAGATAAATTCATGGCAATGAACGTATGTGGTACGAAGCGAAGAGTGATTTTTATAAACTAGCTTTACCAATGTTTTGGCGATCACCTATTTCTGCAGTCGATGAACGAAGTTGAGAAAATGCCGCTTCCGAATATCTAAGCTTCTCTTGCAAAAATGCATTAGGCATCTATGAATATGCATCTCGCACATACTCTGCTGAAAAACAACGTACGGGGAGCTGCATTAGCTTGTAAGAATTACAATGACAAAAAGCATTTTATGATAGAAAAAAATTAGATTTCGTCAATGTATTTATATTCTAATACATGAAAAACCATTATTTAGAACTGATTTACGATTGCGCGCCATTTCTCAAAAACAGCCTAAAATTTCCTACTTTGCATGCGTTTAATGGAAGCAACATTGGTTAGTTAGGTAACAGTAATTTCGCTTCAAATAAGCACGTACAATACAGCCGTATTGAATCGATGCGCTTTATAAAATGAAGTTGCAGCTGAGCGAAACAGTGTGCGAAGTATTATCGCAACTGAATTTAAAACTACATTGCTTCTCCTCATTTGTGTATTTCTACTCCTAAATTTGACTTCGTTATGTTCGATTTATTAGGAAGCAATTGTTTTTTCGTGTACTAAAAATTTTTCGAAGCGGCTAACATCTTAATTGTTTTTCTTTATCGTTTACGTGTTTCCTCTACTGTTCGTTATACGGACGAATTTTTCGGCGAAAAATACAGACATGCATCAAAGCGATTCAACTGTTGAGCTTGATTTTTTCTACAGCAGTCCGATACAAAAGTGGCAAGCCGATTAGACCCAGAAAAATTGACTCGATCCTTCATTATTCATTCGATATATCATCATTTATCCGGGCGCGGATGTCTCATAAAGGGCTCGGTCTTATTATGATATGTAGGTGCTGACTCGTCCAAAAGTACATAGTTAAGGTTAAAGAGACTGACGTAGATCCCTGCCTCATATGCACTTTTGGAGAATTGGACGGAGTGGAGCCCTGATTTCCCTCCTTCCGGGTAAACCCATTGATTGCTGTCACTAGCCGAAGTAATAGTTCCAGATAATCGCCTAAGTTACGGGTTTCTAGTAGGTGTGGATTTCACAGTGATAAGCGAATATCTTAGATGTGGAACATCATCTGCGCTCAAACAATTTAGCCCTTAAACTCTCTAATACTTTAAAAAAAATAAAAAATCAGGGTGCTTCACCCCATATAGCATATTTAAGTTTCGGCGCGCGGGGGCAACAAAAATACGAATTCTGGGAGCCTCGAGTTCAAAAAAAAGACAAAGTGGCACGTTAATGTAACTGGTAGAGCCAATTAATCGGGTGATGCTGGGCTAATAAACTCAACAAAGTCAGCATCACATCGAGATTGATTAAATGACTTAGAATATCATGTTGCTCCGAGAAATTTTAAAAAAGATAATATTTAATTTTGAGATTTTTATTTAAAGCCTTTATTTAAAGAAAGATTACATTATTATAGTTAGATTAATTTAACATTAGCCGGTTGATCCTCAAAGTTAGTTAATGATTTGGGGTTGGCAATAGACCCCGGCAGTGGATAAACAGGACATTCACACACATCACAAATATAAATAGATTCACTATGGAATCTTAAAGAAATCCACGTGCTGCTAAAATACCACTCGAGACTGCACTACAGATGTGCACAGTCAACAAACGACGACGTCAACAAACAGTCGACGAGAATTTGAATCCATCACAAACAACAGGAAATAATCCTAAATCAGAGATATCACCTACCGATACATCGTGTAAGCGGCTACTGAATGCTTTTGTGATAATAGTTAGGACCATATAAAAAATAGTGAAAAAGAGTCCTTTTTAGAGTTACCTTTTAGGCAGTCGATATAGTTCCGACATAGTTGCAGAGAAGCGGGCTTTAGATCGCAAATGCCTAATTATCAAGATTTCCATATCGAACAAATTTTGTCTTTTTTTTTATTACTCCTATAACGGTACCTTACAAGCAAATAAAATCCATCTGGAAGTTGTATATGTTTTAAAGCCTTTTCATTGATAACAAAGTCTTGTTTAAGTATAAACTACAGGAGTAATAATGACGTATACATCAAACGTTGTAAAATTTTAACCTATTTAAGATTTTAATTTATTTATCCTTAAGATTAGTATATTTATAGCTTGTTGAGATCAGTAGGTTCTAAGTTTCGTGCCATAGTGGCATCGTTATCGTTAAAGTACATTCTCACATAATTCACATATAAGATGGAATGACATCAAAAACAGTGGGATTTTTTTTTGCCAAACCATTATGATGTTTTATATTAAGCAAAAATCGACATTTGGATAGAGGTATTAAAAAAGTTTGCGACTATTACAAGAACGCAACATAAGCGATTTCTTTTTGTTGACAGGACTTAAGATTTGCTCTTGGCACGATCGCCGAAGCTCATATGGTTCTAACGTTCGGAGAACATGCCTATGTAGATTACTTGATCTTCATGCGTTCAAGTCAAGCGGCTTAAAGAACTAGATCTCTTCCCGGAGAGAAAAATCGCAACTGCATTAACAAGGAAAAGAAGGTCGCATGGCGGCTTCCACAAATGGTAATGAAGGTAATGGAGCTGGACCATTACGCAAGGAGAAAGGATAAGGCTAGCAATTACTTGCTAAAACCTGAGACGGCTATTTGAATAAAATCTAGGCGAAAATTCCAAAGGTCGATTTAGATATTCACCTAGTGACTTAAACAGTCGTATGCAAGCTAAATGATAATAATTTTTGCTCGAATGAGAAAGCAGAGTTTGGAATTCAGGCTTCTGTGTGTGACGGTGGTCAGAGAAAAGGACGAGAAGGATAACGGTTTGGGCTGACATGGTCTTTTAGATCAATAGGCTGAAGAGAGACTCAGCAAATCTAAATGGAAAGCTTGTAAGTCGAATCATACAGGATATTGGAAAAGCTAGAGTTACCGCTTCTAGGAGGATGATAGTAGCAATCTATTTATATAGGGAGGCCTCACCAGACGAAACAGGAAACCTTCCTAATCAAATCCTTGAGTTAGCAAGCCGGTTCGGTCCGATGGGCAGATCCCGTGCCACGTAACGAGCTCCCGAAGTCATGGGTCTCTTCATAGCTCACACAACAGCCAAAGTGTCAACTTCCATATCCTTAAAAAACGCTTATGGAAAACACCTTTTTACGACAATACTAAGGTAACGACAGAAGGACAGTGACCTAGCTCAGTAGGTAACGTAACGGGCGCAGGATGAAAGTGAACGAGATGTATATCGGTGATTTACAAGTCTGTTTCAAGATTCTACAGAGGCACAGCGAAATGTATCATCGCCTGTCGACACTGCCCTGCGAAAGATATTGTTAGTCAGAAATCTACTCGAAAATACTATCATAAGAGGTCTCGATAGCTATTGCAAGCAAAGGCGGGTTTGGGAATCTGAGCAGCCGTGATGATTTAGTGGTTTTAGTCACAATCTCCTATCAGCCTATAGTACTGTTAAATGAAGACCTATTGACTTTTGAAAAATAATTAGTAAGTAATAGTCTCGACGGGGATAAGTCCAATTTTCAGGGTTGGGCCTGACATTCGACCTACAGATGCTAAACGTTATGTTTTGGTGACGCTGATCCAACGAAAAAAGTTGTGTCTTTATCTAATTTCCAACTACATTTCCCCCTCTAATCGTAAATACAATAAAACAAACACCAACCAAATTATTTTCTAAAACAAGCCCCTTCTAAACGCAAGCAATCCAACTTTGAGTGAAGATTTGCTGAGGAATATTATGGTGTTTTTGTTGCTGTCTATTAAAATTTTAATATGCAGCTACAGATTGTCTCAAATGCAGCTTTACCGTAAAAGCTTGACGGTTTCAAAAGTAACCTTTGTGCATTTACTTTAAAATAAAAGAAGCGACCCTAAGCCCAGGTTTAACCAAGATGTTTGATTAAAACTTGACCTTTTCCGAGACTTAACTTCCTCGATTTACACAGCTTTTGTAGTATGTGTTACTAGCGGAACGCGAAGAAGCGGCCTTTGGTCTCTTTCAATTAGAGGCTTCTTCGCTAATGCTACTTTTGGGTTGTTTGCCCAATTTCGTTAACTTGCCTGGCTTTCCGAACACCTAGCAGATGTATTATTAAAATTAGAGCCTATAGCGAATAAAACGCTATAAGCCGCCAAAGACGCGTATTGTGAAAACAAACACTTATATCCAGACTGATAATTTCTGGGTACAGTTGAGAAACCGTTCGACCACAAAGAAGAACCGTAAATCAACGTTGCTATTATAGAGTAAAATAGATTTGATATTCCCTTACGTTTGTGTCGATAAACATTGTATGAGCTATAAGAACAGGTTATAGGATGGGTCGTTACAACCTGACGCAATTTTATAATCACATTACTTCTCGATTTTTTTGTTCGAATATAAAGATATATCCATGTCCTAATGTACATGACCTATGATGTTTTATATCATTTTTACAATCCATAAATCGGATCAGCAGAAATACTGTTACACAGTATACCACTTCAAGTTATATCTCTAAGAGGCTCTTAATAAACAGCGTGCAAGCAAAAAATAGATCTTCATCCACGTCATTGCTTTATCCTCTGTCTTCATTGATGTTAACTTCAATAGTCATATATAATAGTAAGTCAAGATTTTCCCTATCGAAGGCGCGTGAAAGATCAAAATAGATATAGAACAAAACGCTTCTTTTTTTATTTAATAACATGTCCACCTAATTGTTGCCTTCGTTCAAAATTTTGCTCGTATTTACTGCTCTGGTTATTGCAAAAGCCCTAGTAAGAAGCTTGGCTAGAGAAAGGTGGAAGTTCAAAGTTATATCAAAATGGCAAAGCTAAAAAACAAAGTTAACAAACGTTTATATTACGTTCTGCCTCCTTGACTTGGAGACCTTCCTGCCTTTTATCTCCGGCCACATTTGGCCTAAAGATTTGGACTAATTAAAGTGTCCAGTGGCCAATTAAAAACAACATATATTCTTAATAACCTGCGATATTTCTATGCATCCCTGCCACTGATAACATAATCTATCAAATGTTTATTTAAAAACGAATCTAACAACCTATAGTATCTGCATGTATTTGATTTATTATTAATTGCTAAACATCGTATAGGCTCTATCGACTGCTTAGACCTGCCGCTGGAATTTTGTGCAAGTGTTTTTATTTTGACTAATAAGTATACTTGTATATAACTGTTCGTACAACAGAAATACTCTGGCACGCATTTTGGATGAGCCTGGCTCATCGACTTTAATCTTTAGGGTGCTCTTCCCTGTGAGCAGACAAAAACCGGTCAATAATTTTTGACAGAGCTTCTTAAACCTTACCTACAGATATTCAGTCATCTTCCACTTATGCGACTAAAGTGACTACTTTTATACATAATAATAATAATTTTTATAAACTCGGAACATGAACAATGCCCGTTTCCCATTTAACAAAAATTGTAACATCTCTCGAATAAATTAATTTATTATGTGTTTATCGCCACTCTCTATGGCCTTCTTCCATTGCTTGATCAATTTATTTATTATTTGCCAAAAAATAGTTGGGTCAGATGACTGGCTTTATGTACCAGCGATAGAAAAACATGGCAGTCTATAGTCATAATGTCCGGAACATACGGTCAATGCAAAAAAACCCTTCTCGTATTCGTGCAAGGCGGCCCTCTTTACAGATGTTTTTTATGAGCCATCTAGTATTCTCGTAGAGAAATGTAATGCTGCCTTATCTATCGGATTTTTTTACGGTGGATTGTCTTTTCACTCAATGCAACTGAGACATGAGGAAATACAGGTCCTTGCAGGCCCACTACCCACTGTTAACTTCAGAGATATAGCCTAACTTTTAGCTTAAGCTAAACTGCTTATTCCTTTTTCTGATTAATATAGACCCGCAGAACCGTTTTTTATTACCCCTAATAATTCTACGTATAAATTTCCCATTGAATCTTTGTGGTGCCGTGGTGGCCCATGGATACCAAAATACTATGGGTAACTATATTGTGCATTTTACTCGACCTCCAGCACAAGCAGGTTCTTAAGTTTTAATAAAATTCTACGCATTTTTAGATATTTGATAGTATTCTGGTATTAGCAGCTTATCCTTTTAGAAATTTAACGGGTTACTTGTTATTCGAGATCTTTATTGGCCTCGGACGGCGTAGGACACACCCTTTATGTTTAAAATAGAGATCTTCATATTTTTAGACGGTCTTCTCAGGCTCAGGTAAACTCAGAGTTTACACAGAACTTGGCACAAATGTCCCAAGCTGATTCGGTAACTTTTTGGCATTAGCAAAAAGCAAATCAGTACAGATCGAAGATCGATGATTTTTTTAACTAAGAACTTCCACCTTTAACGCCTGTACTCGTTGTAAAATTTCGTTCACTACAGAAAGAAATGATAGTAAGCTTATAGGAAGTAGAGAAATTTCGAATGATATGTAAAGCGCCCAATCGACACACATAGGAAAATATTTTGTCGCGGCCGTAGACGTTACAAAGTAAATTGGTTCGAAAACAGGCTTACCTGCATCCGAATATTATCCCTAATTTTATAAGAATTCGATTAAAAGCTCAGGTTAAACGTAAGGGTTACCTTTATCGTTTTTATTTCACATTCAAACTTTCTCTCATTTCTTTTTTGTCTACGCTTGTCTTTCTATTTTCCTCTCTGACATGTAAAAAAATCTCGATAGAGATTCGTAAATGATAACGCCATACACATCAGCGTAGCTATCCCAGTTTTGTTAATACTTCGTAATGGCCTTGTATATGACGTCGTCATTGAAGAAAATGTCCAACACGACGCCCATTAACCACTAGAAAAACGATAACCGTTATACTTCGCTCTGTTTGGGGTTCCTAGTTGATTTTAAACCGTCAATGATTCGTTGTCGATTGAAAACGACTTCATACCTCACCTTCGTTATCGTGGCGGGCTCTCGTATATTCATATTCCTATTTGTCAGTTCGTGCTGTTCGAACAGTTTGTGCTTGTGATGGAGGCACCGTGCGCCAATTGGGATCCGACGGCGAAGCACCGCAACTAACGCCGATCCTTTCAAAGGCAACGTCAGGAGAAATGCAACGCACCATCGTCATCATCATCATCGCCATTAGCGTCATCATCAACTACAAACGAAACCATGAAGAAGCAACTGATAAACGAAGCCGATTCGGTTCTTATTTAATGTTTACAGCGGTGTAAATCGTATACGCAAGGAAAATAGATGGTCGATGTCGAAATAAAAATCGATCGGCAAACGGCTTAAGGGCGACCTTGACAAAGAGAAAGAAGTGTCACAGGCTATCATGGCAATGGCTGATTGTGGCAAGAACGACGATATCTCGTTGATGGTACGACGATGACTACGACCGCCATTGTTGATGATGATAAACGGCCGTTGAGTTGGCTGCCTTTTTGTTTATGGCTCCAGGCCAACAGCGCGTATAATCTATATTTATTTCTTTTTAAATATCAACACGTCGAATTGCAGTATCTATTCGGTACTTAGCCGTTATCTGAAGACGATTGCGGCGTCTGCCTTTGTCGATCGTTGAGTTGAACTGCTTAGACCTCTACCCAGCGCAAAGCTAGCGCGGCGCTCAACACTGTCGCTGCTTGCTAACAGTCATATGTGTTTATAGTTGAAATCATTACAAAAAAATAAGACAAAACGGGAAATATCGAAGACATTGTAAATTCACAAAAAATAGTGAAATATTAGTTTGTTGTTTTACACACCGCTATGCAGATCCGTATGGCGCCAAGATAATAATGTGATTAAAAAAATTCGTAAATATTTAGTTTCTAAAGATATGCACCTTGTGCCAGAATAAGTGAAAAGCACAAACTGGGATATTGGAAACATGTATGTATTTCCAATGTATATTCACCCTTAAATAAGAAATGAACGACGACGATGCGATAAATGGGAGAGCGAATCCATCTCAAAACAAGTTCTTTCGAAAAAAAAATGTCTATCAGATTTCTACTATTTGGTTATTTGCATTGAAATTTTCACAGTGATTTTAATTTAATACCGACTACGCAATGCGCTCAAGAACGGAGACATTAGCGAATTAAGCAGATTTTTTAGCAGACGATTTTTTCTTGTGGAAACCAGAGTTGTAGGTTTGATATGAGGTTCCGTACGAAATGGCTGGAGCGGATACGATGGCCGGGGCAGCATTATAGGAGAAGGTAGTCGGGGCAGAATAAGACACCTAAATATAAACAAAACGGTTTGGAGCGTAAGTGAAAAGTGATTACTTACTGCTACTTGAAAAAGTCATTTCAAAATGTCACAACAACGTGGGCAAAGACGATCTTCGAAGCGATTATGTAATCCACCTAATAACAATGACTCTGAGAGATCATTCCGACAACCTTAAAGGTGGCACTTGCAAAGCCAATGAGCACAGTCTAACAAGCGATACAGGCTGCACTGTGTATATGCGTGTGTTGATATAGTAGGGTAATACCATATCAAGGCGCTATTTTTAAGTAAGCCCTTGTCTGAACACTTTTCTATCCAAAGCTAAACTGTCATCGATTACTGAATTACCGATACGACATTCATGTTTGCTGAACTTCACTATCCAATGATTAATTGTACCGTACCTTGTAGTAGATATGTTTCGTCTTATGCTTATCGTGTATATGTATAAATTTAAGCTAATTCAAGCCATTTATCCGCGTTGGTTCATCTAAGCAGAACTATAGTACTGCGTTTCTATAACGTAGTAGTATAATGCAGGTTACCATAGGTGATATTACATCAGAAAAACGACCTTAAAAAAATTGTATATTGGATTATTACTTGCTTCTAACACACATCCAGTGGAACAAATATCGTAACTAAGGGATCAGAATTCCGTAATTTACAGTCATAAATGATAGAATTGAAAAAATCGTGAAGCTAGATTCGGTAAACCCAGGTGGCATTTACCTGTGCTGGCACCATAGAGTGGGAGATGTAAGATGGCGCTGAAGGAGTGGGAGACCCAGAGAACACCTGAACGCCACGGGCAGTGGGCGCGGCTGCTATCGATTGTTGAAGAATTGGTACCGTGCGCGCGCTAAACGTCTGTACCGCTGCGGGAGAAGCAGCATCCACGGTAACAGAACGCTCGATAATTGGGACAGGAGCGGCTACATGTACAGGAGCGGGGACGGCAACGTTGTGAACTACCGGACGGACCACCTGATGGACCTGGAATAGGGCAACCCAAAGCAAAAGGTACATTTCTATAAAAATCATAAATACATAAGTCTCTTAGGTCGCTGAATATCAGGAATAGTTTTTATTTTTCACAAATTGCAAATGTATGTGTCTTACGGTGGTGCTCGAACCAGTAACGTGTACGTCATTGGTTAAAGGTTAAATGATAAAAATACGCATTGCCTTTTTAGAGAGAGACCTAGCCAATGGATGTACCGCGTCGATGGGTAAATAATAAAAATGCAAGACAATTAGAGAACACTCGTTTTATTACGTTAAGATATCAAAACAGAGAGATCTGAGTCACCTGGCGGATAGGGATATTAACAACCTGCACCTCAGGTTCAGCTTCAGTGAAGTGCACGCGGGTAGGCCGAGCTCGCTGAATGACCCGAATTACCTTTTGAGGTTCAGGTGGTGCCTGGAAAAATTCATTAAATCATAGAAATGCACATTATGTCCCGTGTAATTTCAGCCTGATCTCTGACAATGATTACGCTAGCATTTGAAGCTGTAATATTTACATCTTTTATGTATTGTAAGAGGCTCAAGCCGGAAACCACATACATTTCGAATTTAGCACTAACCATTATCATACAAAAAAACAACCATAATTTATATTGGATTTTTAAAAGATTAAAATAGTTGTTTTCTGTGTGACCTGAACGCGGATGATTTCAGGAGCCGGAGCAGGCGCTTCGTGTATACGAATAATCTGGCGAGGACGTTTATACTCTTCTACGCGGATTACCTGTTTATAAAAAGCATACCAATTGGTCATACAGCCTCCAACTCCACTCATATCGCGACTGATAGCACATGACATGGCATACACAAAGAGAACGCACTTGGTTTATATACAAACCTATAAAAGTGTCCATGTTGTTAAGCTAAAGCCCTTTAGGTTAATATACAAACCTTTCAGGCGGCTCGCTTTTCTTGCAACGCTAAACCTGCATGTAACACGGTCATGCAGAGCGCTGCTTAACCCACTTGTAGAGCCTTCGAAAACATTTATAAGATCAAAGCTTTCAGATGGTGATATTCCATATTGTATGCTAAAAATGAGTTTGCATTACGGTAGTTACAGCCAATATAGTGCGATGGAACTCAGCGTCTATAAATTGGAAAATATATAGTTACGAACACTCTTATTGGCATGTGCGAATTATCGTGTGCAATTTCAAGTGGACAATAATGCACACGCTCGCGCTGGCGTTCTCCATCTAGCTCGAAGAATGAGCGCTCAGTGTGCAAAAAAATTTACCTCAACTATTGTTAGCCACAATGTAATTAATGTATATATATATATATATATATATTTGACAAAAAACAACTGGAAAAGAACTCGTTAGCGAAAATCACCAGCAGGCCTCCAAGCTAGCTAATACTTTACTATTTGCGTTTGCCTGATAGACGGCTTCAGGGCTAGCTCAGAGTATTCGAATTTTTGCAGATTATTTTCGTTCGTGTTGTATTCGTGTTCGTGCTACAATTTTGAAACGTTATCGTACTGTTCACGATAATCTGCTGCGTATCGGTGGCGCGCTGCACATCGCTTTACAGATAATTTTTCCAACATGTAGAAGTATTCGATTTTGATATAATTACCTTCTCTGCGCGTAAAATTAAGTTGAATAGTTGTATAATGGCAGCTAGTAATTAACTATATCTGGTATTTGCTGGCTAGGACACAAGAATTAATTAATTTCAAAGCTCATCAGCCATTAGGGCCAGTGTAAGCTGCAATGCCGCCGCAAAGTTTAACATGCAATTCTGGAGAAATTTCTTTATTTATATGGCCTTATTTGTTTGTAGCATAATAAGTACATATATCGGAAATATTACCTTACGCGGAGTCTGAACATTTGCTGGAACTAGAAGCTATTTAATTAACAAAGCACTGCTGGTTAGTATGAGCAGTGAAGTAAAATATGTATATTAGAATTTAATTAAAAATAATAAAAATACACTCTACTTGGGCATACGTAGAACGAAAGCTGTTATTTGCCACGTACCTCTCGTTCAGAAGTAGTGTGGATTTCATGGACTTTGGGCTGACGCGTAGCAGCAGCCACCGTCACAGGCGTGGCCAAGGCGGCCCCACCGTATGACGCGCTGCCAGTTAACGACACAGGTGCGGCCGACCCGGCGCTAGCGTAGGAGTTCTGCTGACGATACGAACCGCCGTAGGCGCGTTGCCTATCAAACTCCTGGCCGGACGCCTTTGCAGCGAGCAATCCTAAGGCGAGCACGAAGGCCTTCATTGTTATGCAAATCAATGATACCACTGCAGTTCTCCGAAGGTCAAAGTAGAGGCTTAAGAACCTACAAAATAAAAAGGAAAGTGCAACGGCGGGATATGAGGCTAGATGAGCTCAAGTATAGTTTGTTAGTTCGGCGGAGTGCCCAACTCAAATGGTCCGCTGTGGGCCAAGGCGATGACGAAGAATCTCGCGGGGTTGCGACGCTTTTATAGAAGAAGGCCGTCGAATATGGAGGGACGGCCGCCGTCACTACAGCAGTATACGCAGATAACGACAGGTTGTTGTACGTCGACTGTTAATACAGCCTGGCAGCCGCTGACGCAGAGGAAACGGAAAGTAAGAAAGAGGGCCTGGTACGACTGCGTGTTGGCCGCTTCGGCATCCGCGCGATTAGACGGTAAAACCGGCAGCAGATATTCTAACGAGAGTGTTGCACCTCAGCATTGTACAGCTAAAATTCTAGGAAACACCCCAAATATATGTGTAGACCTCAATTAATGGGCAACTTTACATTGTTGTTGCTGCTTCTATTGGTACAACAAAAATATCACTATACGTTCCCAGCACCATATAAATCTGTTGTTCTATTATATAGATATATGTGAAATAAAACAGCCCCGTTTCAGGGATGCCCCAGACTTCCCTTGCCACCGACTTGTCTCGTCGACATGCAGCTCACGCGAGCGGCCAGACACGACTCATCCAGCCAGCCATCCCGTCAAAGATCCAGTAAACCGTCGATGCTTTCATTACCAGCCAGCTTGCTACTAAGATATCATGATAGAACCAAACAGCAAAAAACATCATATTTATTATTCAGTCTATTTATTAATATAGGTTAAGAGGAGTTTATTTTATCTTTAGGCCTATGACGTAGATGAGATATAGGTAATATAAGTGATCGCTAATATTCCGGCTGTTTCACAAAACGAACATGGTTAAATAAGAACTCCGATGAATGAAAAGGATATTTTACTGTGAGTAAGCCTGAAATTTAGAGAAACCTCTCCGTGATGTATCAGGAGTACTAATCAATAATCCTGAGACAATTAAATTTCTCACAATAATTATTTCTGTAACTTCAAAGAATGAAAGCTACAGTATTATTTTGTGAAGAAATCGCCTAGTCAAGTGAGGACACCAAGCTGGAGGTAAAATATACGAATCCAAACTTATTGTCCAGGTACGTACATCAGGTATGCTATTGGTGGATCAACGAATACGTTAAAAATTATAGAGGAGCACCTTACTAACAACTTAACTTAATGTCCTATTTCCTACGCTTTTAATACTAAAGTTTCACAGCTCTAGCCCGTTTTTCTTAAACCCTAAAATTATATGCACGCACATGTGCATGTAAGCATAATAATTTTTTATGAAAGTCATTATATACTCTAAGCTAAGACTACTACGCAAGCGTTTTTTTTATTAACTAAACTAGGTTAAAAGGCTGACTAAGAATTGTGACGCCATATTTAACTGAGTAATAATTGATTTATAGTGACTGACTGTTTTTCTAAAGTTAAAAAAAGACTTCACTCAATTTCAAGCGACCATTAATAGATCGCACTTATAATCATTAAATTACAGATCTTACGCCCAGCAACTGTGAGAGCGATATTTTTTGACAACATACGAATGTTTGTGTTCTCGCTCGTAGAAATAAACAACTTAATTAGTACATGCACCACGTATTTATACATACTAGTTCAGAGCTGAGGCAGTACAGTTTACAATAATGAAATGGAAGTACGAAACAGAAACGGGTAGGTTACTATTATCAGATAACTATTTAGTAAAATACTAATTGTATTGCTCAATATTAATCCAACATAAAAATGGAAACTATTTTGTCTAAGTAGAATTCATTGGTTTTGTCAAGATGGTTTCCATTTGGATTGATGCAGGCAGCAGTCTTGCAGAACTCTCGTCCCTGCTTTAAAGGCATGCTTAGCAACCACAGTTTCCTTTATTGTAAAACTGTTTTTCAAGGTCTGAAGACACTTGAAGGCCGCCGGAGGATCGGCCTACAGATTGTAGTAGGTAATCTCGATTCAGCCATCCTGGTCTTTGAGGTAGCGAACTATTCTGGTAAAGGTGCACTCCTGTCCCTTTGCTAGAAGAGATAGGCATTATGAATGTAACTTAGCAAAGCTACCTTACAAGTAGTTTAAACGGCGGCAAAAATCTTCGTCACTATCTGTTTTAGGTTACTCATAAAAAAAGATATAAGCTCACCTTAAAAAACAATCTATCTGATCTTTTTTGACCGTTGGAGTCATCCTTCGAGTTTTACCTGATTAATTCACTTCCAGCAGCACCCACTATGTCAACCGTCTGCTTGACTAGGTGCGCCATCTCTCTGAGCAGAAACAGCGGCCAGACCGTCAAACGAGATGACAGAAGAGAGAAAAGAAAATGGTTCAATAGTAACGCGTTCGCCTATGAACTAAGTATGAGATGCGTCTAAAATATAGGAAGCACGCACGATTAGTTTCTGGAAGGAAGCTGTTTTTTTATGATGATGCTTAATGGGGATCTCGGGGCTCAAAAGACTGATTTAATTAGTCCACTCCTTTGTTTTTGCTTACCTTTAAGACGTCTGAGTGGATATGCATTCCATAAGCGGTTATGTAAATTAATGCGAAGTACTTTCAGATTTTCTCTGTGTCGTCTGTTCCAAACGCTCTTTTGAAACATCGTCTTGTTTGGCGGATTTCGTGTACTACAAAGTATTGAAAACAAGATGTCGAAGGCAAAAGTTTAAATATTGCGTACACTACTACAAAGAGATTTACCTAATGTTAAATTCCATTCCTCTTCTATACCCTTTAGCTTAGCAGGGCCACATTGTTGGCTGTTTTTCCTTCGGCTCATTCGAAGGTATAATGACTTCTGCACTAAAAATGGATGTATGAAACATGCTCAAGTATTCAGCCTCAGGGTGCCTCTTATGTTAGATTATCGCTGAACGATTTTAGGTAACCAAGTACGCCCGTTTTCGGTTCCTCCTGATATGAAACCCATATCGCTTGTATCGTGCCAACTTGTTTCAATACTATGACACAGTTCGAAAATGTCAATTGAAGAAAAGTGATACCTCTATATCAACTGGCTAGGTTTTCCTTTATTGACATATATGAATCGCTCGGTTGGAATTTGTCAGACGTCAATTGGTTTTAGATTAGATATCTCACAGCGACATTCCTTCATCGAAAATGCTCTTTAACCAGTGTCATTCGAAGGACGTAAGTAGGACCCTAAGTAGCGAAAACCTCTTTGATTTGGTACGTGTATGAAAGGTTTTTCCTTAATGACCTCCCGCTTTAACCTGTTGCTGAAACAATTCGTAGCTTTCTTTATTCGAGCAGACAGAACACGGCACGACTGGCTGATCCTGAACTTGCGTTGATGAACAAACAAACTTCTTGTTACCGCGTTTGCATTATAAATACTAGCTTTGTTGGACTCATAATGGACCCTTATGGGCACAACAGATGAAATGTTTGTTTGTACGACTGTACTGACCTTTTCGTCCTCGATTTCTAGTAGCTAATCTAACGCTTGACGTTTGGTACGAGTATATAAAAATACTGAATTCTCGCAAAGCGTAGAGATATAGACTTTTTTTGTTTAATTGTTTTCGTTTGTCGATTTGGTACACAGTAAACAATCTCAAGATGTATACATTCTAAGCCTCCTTAAAACTTTTAGATTAAGTTTTATTCTGAGAATAATTTTCAAATGCTACAAAAATCAATAACGTTGCATAAAAGCCGTAGAGTTATTGCTTTAAGCTGAGTCTTAGATATTGTCACGGCAATTTGCAGAGCTATGTTTGTTTTTTTCTATTTCTTTTAATAAATTTATACGATCTTTCTAATTTTGCATGTAAACCTTTTTTTCTCATCAGTCCTACCCATTTCGGCACACTGATTCATAAATGGGTAAACAGACATAAAATGGATCTTGTTCGTTACGTGACCTGAAAGGTTAGTAGAATGGCGTCCTTAAGCCTAACTTGTTCACAAATTGAAAGGGTAACCTATGAGCAGGTATAGTTTAAGTTACTTCAACTTCCAGGTTTATAAGAAAGTTTCCCGCTTATCTAGTTTCTTATAAAAGCGGCTAAATTACTATAAATTAATTTAGGTGGTTCAGTCAAGTAGTTTTGCATCTTTGTTGCACGGTAGGATATGTAAATGTATAGATTGTTTGGTACTTTCTGCTCCATTAAAATTAAAACGTAACTCCAGATGTTGTTGTCGACTTAACATAAATGAAGTTGCTGCGTGCCATCAATTACAAATACCAATACCATCTTGAGCCATTTACTGAATCTTATTTTATGACCACTCTGAAATTAACCAAAGGGAACAAATTTATTTTAAATACTAATTAAATAAGTCCATGAAATCATGTAAAAAAAAAACCGACAACCTCACTTGTGCAGTCTTCCGGGAGCAAGCGGTTTTCTCAGCCTAAGGCTGTAAGCACGACGTTGTTTCCGTTCTGAGTACGAACATGTTTGACAAACCGTAACAAAAAAAAAAAAATAGTTGCGTCTTTAGCACGTGATGACATACGACTTGGAATTAGGTTTGGAATGACGTTTAAAAAATATTTTCAACTCTCAAACAAATATGTTTCTTTAAACACAAATACCTGTTGTAGGCCCTTTTTTGGCAGAATATCATGCCAGTGGCTCGGTGTTCTGAAGCACAACGTTTGAATGAACCAGAAAGAATAGCTGTTGCATGAGCAGTAGAAGCAGCGCTATCAAGCGCAGCTATAACCAGTTTTTTCCTCACCCTAACCGCTGAGCTCTTTTAATACAAATATATACAAGGGACCATTTCGAACCTTTAAAATAAAAACAAGATTCTCTTATTTTATTCCGAAAAACACTGATATCGAGATAGGTGACGTAGCTTTTGTGTTTTAAGATTGCAAAACTGCAGGTCAATAGCAACGTTAGCTTGAATATGTTATTTCTCTATAGAGTAACAATTCAGACTACAAGTAAACGGCAGATTTGATTCGCGAGCAGATAGCCGGAGCTAGTCCTCAAAACACTTTTAGCTAGAAAACTATAGCTATTCCAAGGTTTTATTCTGGCACCATACATCGTTCATCAAGTTACTTATGAAAAGTAGTTTTCTCCAAAAAGTGGGTTTATGTTTGATTGTTATAACGCATAAAACGGAGGCGTCCATTAGGATCAGATGGGTAAAGACTAAAGCCAACTGAAAAGTTCTTCCGCAATAATGAGTTTGGTAACTGGACGGTGTTAAAGGAAATAGCAACCAAATCTTATCTCCTGGAAGAAATATTCGTTAGAATCGCTGCGCGCGATAGATCAAGATTAAACTGGATTTTAGGAAAATTTCTTTTACACGAAAAGTTTTTTTCTACATTTTTTAGCCAGCCACTATTTGAAGACGGGAATGACTTCCATATGTCGGGCTGTTTAGAAAGGTGCCAGGTTCGTACATTACTCTAGACCTGTTACACTTTTGCTTTATTGACTTCTCTGG